AAGAGCTTGCTTTGATATCCTCTTCTGTTCCTTCCGCCTGTAGTTGAAACAATGCTTCCCAGGTAGGTAGCTAAAGGAGGTTGTTACTTTCAGGTTCCTTCCATTTATGCTGATTATTGTCTGTTGTTGTTCCTGTTTCTGTTGGCCAGGAATCTTCATCACCTCTGTTTTGTCTATATTAGATCGAAAAGGTGCAAACATTGAAGGCCTTTTTCTCTCAGTTTATCAGTAGTATAGTCAGTTTTACCCAGCTCAGAGAGCTGGATCGTTTTAAATCATCCGATTGAGTGCCTTGAGTTCCACTAGTAAATGCTACAAAATCAAGATTAAATAGAATTAACTTTAAGGAGTTTCTGCCTAGGAAATTCCCAGCAGTTTCAACAAATAAAAAGCAATCGAACCGCCTCCTACTGTGAAGCATTTCACCATCAATGATGAGTACACATTTTTTTCTCTCCAAAAACGTTTACCTAATTGTATAAATCACTCTCAGTGGAAGGGGAGAGACAAAGTACGAGGGATGAATAGTCAATTATACACTATTCACTTAGTAATCAACTGATTAACATTGATAAATACTCCAAACAATCCTCCTTTATATTATCGTCAGCCTGATTACCATTATTGCTATTTTTGAGTATAACAAAACTAGCTATACTGATAATATTCTATTGTATAGACTTCACAATCGCAAAAAAATGCAGAATGATCCAGTTTTCATACTTTTGCACTATTTCATTATTAATAATAGAACATCTATTTTGAAATGTTATAACGGAATGAATGTTACTCATCATTTTTTTTCCTAATGAAATGGCAGAAGAACAAAGAAGGAGGAAAAAAGAAACGCCTGTAAAAAACGCCCAGCATGAGTGGAGTTCAGTGAACAATGGATTATTATTATTATTAATCGTAGCAGTGGCAGTATTTTTTTAGGATTATTGATACATTTGCCTATTATTGGTTTATCAGTCTTATTTCATACATGTATGGCTCTTTTAGTCTACTTATGTCTGTGTGAATCTGTTTAATAAATACTCACAAATACTCACACACACACACACACCTACAAACATTCTCACATCCTGGCACACATGTAAGCAAGCATACATAGTCTCATTTTATTGATACATTCAATTTTGTTAATTTATTCCTCTTCAGTAGATCGAACTCAATCTGTTGTAGTAGGAATAATAACAGTAGTCATAATCGAAATATCCAGTATGTGGTGGTCCATTTACAGCTTTATTTCACAGCATACATATACGCTACTTATATTGTTTTTCAGTAGTTGAATTCAGCAAAGGAAACCCTAAGGGAATTAATAGTAGTAACAAAAAACAAACAACCGCACAGGTAAAATGATGTAGCCAGTTCTGAATAAATACATGAAATGATTGGTATACACACGCAAACACGGACACACACGCACACACACCTACAAACACAGATGGAAACATGTCAATTGTTTTGTCATCATCAACAGCACAGAGTCAGTGGAAGGAGGTAGGCAGCAAGCAAACGAACAAGCAAGAATAACCCCATAAATAGAGAGATAATAATGTTTGATTTACTGTATGTATGTAAAGCGTTTCAGTTCCTTCATGCAAATGGTGTTTCTCTTACATATATAGGTGCTGTATAGGTTATTTATAGAATATTGGCTACGAAGTATCTATGAGCATCGGTGTCTATATGTAAGCAATTGTGGGTTATTGTATATATATATATATATATATATATTTAGATAGGTGGATAAAAACAAGCCTACATACCCGTCTGTTGTTTTCCAAGCCTACCATAATAATAATAATAACAATAATCAATAGTCTTTTTATTTTCCAGTTAAGGTTGAATGATTATGTAATAGACGGGTTGTTCACGCACACACACACACACACACAAAGAGCTTATTTTTCTCTCCTCTGTTTAATTATTTTGCCTGATCACTACTCAGTATCTATTTCCAGACCATGTTTGTACTTTAAATCATTTCAAAGCAGTTTTCATCACGAACGGATATTAGTTAGAGGAGTATTGAAAAATGGAGTGGAGGGGGTGGTAAGTAGGAGAGTTTTCCCATTCTTTTTTTTGTGACTCTTTAACATTATGAATTCAGTTAGGACTGAAGGACAGTTATTATTCAACCCAATAAGAGAGTGCTCTACGGGCTTAGATTATAACCTGAAGAGATTTAATTCTTGCCCTACCGGGGTCATCAGAATGCTGCAATCCTGAAGAACAACAGTTTGCGAAAGTCATACTTCCCGAATTATTCAACGACGAACGTATCAGTGTTGAATTCATTATAGAACGTGAAAATGATGGAAAGTTTCATTTCCTTGGCATTGCCATGCAACGCCTAGAGGATGGCAGCCTTCAGAGGTCAGTTTACAGAAAGCCGATATGGAAGAGCAACACTTGCATTTTAATAGTTTTTGTCCAAATAGCTTTAGTTGAGCACTAGTCAAGATTCTGCTCTGTAGAAATTGAAGGAAGAATTTCTGATTCTCGAAAATATGTTGACAAACAACGGTTACCTTCAGAAATTCATTAAGAAGTATGGAAAATGTGAATGCTCAAACGTCAAACAAATCACAGCAGGAAATAAGCCTATCTACATCCTACTCGATTTCAAAGGTAACAGTACTTCAGGAATGACCAACAGGAGATTGAGTACTTCACTAGCCAGAACCTATCCTCCAGCTAAGTTAGTTCTCATCTATCCAACAACTTGATCTTTGGTTCAGTCAGAAGTCGACAGACGTCCTTCGCATGTTAACAGCAACTGTGCATACAAATCTACATGTATCTACGGGAGCAATAACATTCGGCGAACAGACAGAATGCTACACCTTTCATTTTCTGAATATGTATCAAAAAGTCTGCATATTAAGGGAACAATTGCCTCCAATTGTACCACTGCCATACATCTCAGCAAAGCGAGGCATGAGGTGGACAACATGAAATTATCAGCAGACAAAATAGCTTGATTCTCGTCGAATTCGTTACTCTACAAACAGCTGTTTTTACTTTATTCAAATTCACAATGGAGAATGAATGCATGAAGTTTATGCAGTTCATGCATTCTCCGAGATCTCTTGATATTTTGAAAAAATTTTCACTTAGCGCCATTCACCTTACTCCCTTTTGCTACCTTATCAAAACATATTTGCTAATGTCACGTAGACTCTTGCTCTGATATTCTCTTTCTAGTTAAACCTTTTACTTTCTCTCCAAAAATGTTTAAACTCTGTCTTTGCTTCAGGAATATTCCTACAATTATTCTGTAAATAAGCGATCCACTTAACTCTGAAGAATTTAACAGTATATATTCTTCTGGATATATGTTATTTACACTTTCTATCAATTACTCGTTGTTACTACGTAAAGGGTATACTCAAATCACTCTATGTAATGTGTACTCTTCCACTGTTCAGGCTGCAACCAACTGAGAAGAAGCTAAGAATCAGCTCATAGTATCATTCAGCTATATTTGTCTGTGATTCCTGTTTTGTTCAAGCTTGCTGATAGAAAAAGTTCTGTAAAGTATATATGACACTGGCTGGTAGTTCCACTAAATATATATCACAAACTGGTAGAATCTGGAATTCATGGACCATTAGGTTAGATCCCTATGACTGAATGGTTTAAGAGCTTACTTTGTAAACATAAGGTTCAGGGTCCAAACCCTGGTGGTGGATGCGCGCTGTCGAAGAGTCCAAAAACCAGAACGAAACAGTTGTCCAGTACTTCCAGTGGTTTGAATATACGAATAGCGAATATATTTGCACGATGATACGAGTTCATTTTATTTCATGGATTCGCCCTCTTCAACTGTGTACATCCTAAACAAATTAATTCTATATGTTACAAAGTTTTCTGAACATATTATTTATAACGATTTCGAGTCACAGGTATGAAGTATAAGCAACATAACTTCGAGGATGATGTAAGTAGACAATTACTGAGTGTTAAAAGAGAGTAACTATTTGCGTAGTAATTAGACAAAGGGATAGACTTCAGTATTCTCTTGGAAAAAAAGATGGACCAGAGAAAAAGTACAACAGTGAATGTACATATATTATGGTGGAGAGTTCAGTAGGGTGAGGGAGAACAGTGAAGTAAAACTATAGAAAAGGTAAAATAATTTAATAAAACACAGAAACACAAGAGAAAAACGACTGCAGTCAGCAGATTAGTAACACTTTCTTTCTATATGAATAGGTTGTGTCGAATTCTTTTCATGGCAATGGCTTCTGTGAATAGAAGTAACTATGCTTTTCTTTCTATATTGATTATTTTGAAAACCCCACTAATTTCTACTGTATGTCCCGTGTCAATTAGATGTCTGGCAATCGCACTTGAAAACATTTCGCCGCCTTTCAAACGGCAAATTCTAGGCATATGCTGAGAGAATCTAGTAGACTCTGTCCTCTTAGTCCTCTTTATTTACTTGCTGTCTCAAGTACAGGTGAATTGGTTGATACAGTTGGAGTTGACTTAAGGAGCAGGATAGTTATCTAATTTTGACCAGGTTAACGAGCATACTCTGTTGTAAAGTGGAATGAACCTAGCGGTGGAAAACGTTCTTTTCAATGCATTTTTAATTCTCTTCTCCATTCTTATGGATACTTCTTCATATTTGTGTACTAGACAGATAAAAAAATAGTTTCTTGTCAGCTATTTCGGGTTTCTGCCTAGGTCTTGTTTCCATATGAACTTGATATAAACTTCTGAGGGTATTCATTTTCGATAAGGTTCTGTCTACCTATAAATTATGCATTATAATTGATTTATTTAGGATGTCGGTAGTGGGAGAGAGAGAATCCACGAAATCAAACGAGCTCTTATTATCCCGGAAATGTCTTCGTTCTTTCTTTATTCAAACTAATAAGGGGAACCAGCTGTATGATACTTCCAATGGTTTTCTAACTGATCCCAGTTGATAACTAAACGTGTAACCAATCAAATCCCTTCAAACCAACACTTTAAATGTACAAGTTTGTTCCATTAATTTATTTATTCATTCATTCACGCAATATATATATATATGTGTATGACGCAATCGCGATAACAATTAATGCATATATAATAATAGTACATATGAAGAGAAAATAAAAACTAAATTACACTTGATATTGTTCTTTTTCTCTATTTTTTGTCTGTTACATCTTTTTCTGTCAATTGGAAAAACAATGGATTCATGATCACCAGTAAAGTAATGAGTATGCCTGCAAAAACACGCAGATGCACACTCTCAGGTTAGGTAATCCACAAGTATATAATGCAGTATATATGAGGAGAGAGAGACGCAAGAAGGCGATAACTTCAACCACTTGTCTTTGTGCTCACTCACTCACGAGTACACATACATGTTACACAGTTGTTAAGCTACATAAATTCATGTGCATACATAAACCACGCTGTAAAAAAAGAAGCACATGTACAAGAAAAGAAAGAGAAACAACAACCACAAGAAAAGGGTGTTACTTTACTTTGATATTTAAATTTTCAGCTGTTCATCAGTACAGTATTATATAAGAAGAGGTATTAGTAGTCGCCGCAGTAGAGAGTGTTTAAATAAGCATAAAGTATACACAGCATACAATTTAAACAAGATCACATTCCGTTGTCTGATCATGCTCTGGTGTATCTTCCAACTGACAATGATTAGTAGACAATCTTTTTTGATACTGATGATGATGATAATTTCTTATACCCTTCAACAGTCTTGGTGAAGGTGTTGGCGATAAAAGTTGTATCATTTTAGGTCGGTTAATTTTAGTTGCTTCTGTTGGTTCAGGCAGAGGTGTTGACGTCGCCGCAGTCGTCGTCACCACCTCTTTCGCCTGTGCTGTTGGTGTTGATGTTGTAAACTGATCCAGATCATTCAACTTGCCATGGTGGCTAGATCTTTCATAAGGTAATAAGGGTAGACGACGACCACGCTTGTTATTAGTATTATTATTATTATGATTATTACTGTTATCACCACGTGAAGAGAATCCTGTATCGCTGCTAATATTCTCAAGTGTATTTGCTTTTTGATTTGTATTTTCTAAATTATTATTTCTGAATACTTCTGACTGTTTGTCAGTTTTAAATTTATACTTTTCTAATTGAACTAGAAAGTCATTCGATGGCGGAGATGGAAGATTTGACTATAAAAACAAAAAGAAACATGCGAAAATACAATATAAATCTGTGAATAGGGTTAATTCAATAAAAGTTGTTGTTTATCATCTAATTATTATTATTACAAAAACTTCACCTGTTTTTTATATCACATTATGCTGACTTCATAGGTTGCTACTTCTTTTATTTTATTTCTTTGTGTTCTGAATGGAACATAGGACTTCAAGCATCAGGATTTGGTGTTTCAATAGCAGTGGTGTTTATTTTTCTAAAGGGTTTGAGGTTACTACGTTCTCACACTCAACCTTCTCATTTTGTCAGGCTTATTATCGGTCAAATCAGGTTCAGGAGTGCCTCAGTCAAGGATTGAACAATGGACCATGTGGGGTGCATTCTCAAAGTGTTTATATATTTTGTATCAGTTCCCTACTTTTGACGCTCAGGAGACCATCATAAGCTGTCTCCTTCTCCGGACTCAAGGTGAAGCTGAATATGAATAAACGTGTTAATCATTCGATGACGGGGTAGCGAAGATAAATGTGAAGAGAAAATGGGAGTTCATGGCCAGTTATGAAGTCAGCTGAAAATGAAAGCCCTGAACCGAGTGCAATAAAGATATACCAATGATTGCATGGAGGATTTCACCATGAGCTGACATCATTTAGAGAACCACTGGAAAACCTGGGAGTACTGGACAACTGTTTCTGTTGTCCTAGTTTAGGACTCTTCAGCAGTACGCACCCACAGGGGTTCCGAGGCTCACTAGTGACTGGCCCTATTCAGGCAGTTAACCTGGGGTTCCTGTGGGAACCCGTGACCAGTAGGGTACAGCAAGTTGAACACGAGGCAGTAACTCATCGAAGAAGACATTGCGAAGTGGTCGCTTCATGCCGTGAATTTGCAGAAGTTAGAATTCATGCACCATTGGATCGAGTCCCAGGGGCTCAATGGTCTACGAGGTCGCCTTGTAACCAGAAGGTCCTGAGTTCGAACTAGGGTGGTGGGTGCGTACTGATGAAGAGTCCCAAACTAGGACGACAGAAACAGCTGTCCAGTACTCCCAGGTTTTCCAATGGTTCTCTAAATGATATCAGCTCATGGTGAAATCCTCCATGGAATCAAACAAAATCCCTACAAAACCAGTACTTGAAAATATACCAATGAAGCATTCTCTATGTTCCAATCGGGAAGTATTAAATTCATGAAAAATAAAAATAATTTTCTTCATTGATTGATATATGCAGCATCTCGTAATTCACTTTTACTTCATTTACCCTGAAGCATGTGGGACTGGAGAAACAGACAACATCAATATAAAAGTGAATGTTTAACTCCCTAGTGACTACTAAAAGTAGTACATCGCAAAACAGTAACAAAATTTAACAAAATTAAAAAAAAACATTTTCACTCGGTTGGTGATGGATAGCAATGGAACCCAGCATGCAAACCATCTCACACTTGAAACTCATCATCTGGATATACTTGAATTCCCAGTGACTGGTGGAAGTTCCCACTGAGTCTTAAAACTAGCATCTGTCGTTTCAGGCAACAAAAGTCTTATTTACTAAGCTACTCAGAGTACATGAGGCTCAATGCTTGTAGAACGAAACGACTGAACATTTCGATTCAATGTAAATCGATCACCACGAAATATAAATTCACTTAAACAATCAGTTAAAGATTGTAGGCAATAAAACGAATCATTGAGGATGAAATTACTGCACATCTAAGCAACTATGTATGCATGACACAGGAGTACAACAGACTAAAATATAAACATGTTTACTGATAGAATACGTTGAAACAATAAAATCATCTAAGATATGATAATATTCAGCAGATAACATTATAGGATATATTCATATTCATAGCCCCACAAAGTGGCTTTACCTAGAATTAACTTCTTTTGATTTAATCAACACTCACTCATATCTTTTACGCATATGTAGCTGATTTGGTTTTTGCCTGGAAACTATGATGAAACTAACTACAGCTTCATTTCCTAGTGCCAAGCTGATTTGACATAACACTACAAATATCTTGTATTTGGTATTTCTATGAAGACTATGTTGGCAACCAATATCATTTTGAATAATCATTGAAAATCAGGGAGCATTAGATAGCTGTTTTGTCTTAGTTTGCAAAACCTTAGAAGTGTACTCTTATGAACCCATCAAAGGATGAACCAAAAACCTTTACGTTACAAGTCCGGTTCGTTAACTAGTTAGTAGCTTTGAAAGAAGTTTAATGATCCATTAGTTTTAACTTTTTCAATTTGTGATGTAGAGCTGCCGCCGACTGATTCCGTCGAAGAGCAAAACCTTGGCCTTAGTACAGCGCTCAACCTACTTGTAAATGCTTCTTTCATTACAACTTCAGGACTCATATCCAGGAGTTCCCAATATGCTGGAGATTGATAATTTGGACTACGGGTTTCTGAGTGATTCACTCTATGATCGTTATAGATTACATCACTCGCTGGAGAATTCAGAGACATCCAGATGGGGAGTCCCAGATAGGATAGAATTAGTATCTTGGATTCCGCTACTAGTCACCACTAACCAAATTACCTCAAGTTAAATGGTCAGACATCGTTAAAGCATTGACACAAGAAGCTGACACGCTAGCTCATTCCGAACCATTATGATTGAACCAATCAACGGGGAAATCAAAAGTGAGTGACAGAATAAATCTCAGATTGTCATAATTATCGAAATGCCACATTGTTAGGCAAGTTTAAATCTCTTATGGATAGAATTTTATTTTGATAAAATCACACAGTGCTGCTATACAGTAAGTAATATTTACTGATGACCACGTTTCGAGGACAATTTATTACTTCTAATAATCATATCAAGATAACACTCATACAACCTTTTGACTTTGCTTATGTACGTGAGTACAGATTGATTAGAAATTCGAATAAAATCAATATACGACATGCGTGAAGCGTAAAGGAAGATAAAGCAGATTAGGAAATAATATTGGTGTTATCAGTAGAATAAACGCAGTTAATCTTCTTCTATTCGTTTTATATTACAATCTAACATAGCTAATTCTCCTTGTTCATTTCCCGATTCAACTAGATGGGTCAAACTAGTAGGTCATGAGTAGTGAGATCATCAAAAGATAAGAATATAGCAATAGTTAAAATGGTTGACCCCACAAAGATAAGCAATTTAGAAACAAAAGTCAGAGTGCATTAACAAACAACCATACACTAGGGTGGGTGGGACACAGTCGAAATTGTAAACAGTAATATAGGTAGGTGGAGATGGAGAGAGGTTGATTACTGAATTCTGGTTCATCGAGTCTACACCTAACACATGCAACAGAAGTGATTAAACGCAAATACCAGAGATATAGAAGATACCATTACCAGTCAAATCAAAGGAGGATAATAAATAATGTTAAGATCTATTCAATTCAAATTATAACACTTTAACAAGTTACTTATTTTTACTATGCAAACATCTTATTTCCCATCCTATTGTACAGTATTTTATTGATAACACTAATATTATTTCCGAGTGTACTTTATCTTATAATGATTTTATTCAAATGTCTAATTACCAATTTTTACTTTTATATATAAATGAAGTCAGAAAGTTATATGAGTATTATTGATATAAGTATAAAGTGATCGGAACACCAAGACCCACTCTCCAACTCGCCCCTAAGAAAGACGTGTACATCAAGCCACCCTATATGGGGCGTAAAAGCAGCTTGATAACTAGACAAAGACTGAACACTGCTGTTAAAAAGACCTTTTATGCAGCTAATATCATTATAATTGAGAATGCAAAGCCAATATATCCATCTAAGCCCTTCGAACATGCAAAAAATGACATCACATCCCACTGTATTTACCAATTTGAATGTACGTGTGGACACACCTATATAGGGAGGACTCATCGATCTCTGCAAGTAAGGGCTTCAGAGCATATTCCTAAATGGCTTCAGAAACAAATGGATTCTTCAGAACCTATTAACGGTGAGAACAGGAAACCTAGCTCTTCTATTGCGAAACATATTATAGAGACAGGACATAAAACTGACGTTAACAGATCTTTTAAACCTATCTATAAAACGTGTTTGGGGTGTATCCTAAAGTTTGTGGAAGTCCTAGCTGGCAATTAGAAAGTTTAAGCCACCTTTATGCGTTCAAAGCAACAATTCGTCATCATATTAAACCTTCTCTGGTTAATTTTGTTTTGATACCAGTCAGGACAGATGTACTATTACCTCTTTATCATTTGGTTTAGTGATCTTCATTGTTATTTTGACCATGAATATGTCCTTTTTACTTGATCTAAGTAATCGTTTTTCTCACCTTTATTAATTTCATATATATTCTTATGACAAGTCCATGTGTGATCAGATTGTTCGAGATGTGTTGTGCAAATACATTACACGATTCAGACAAATTACGTCTTATCATTGCTTTATGTAAATTCATAAAGGGAACTAACTGTTTTAAATAAGTATAAAACTTGGGCACTGAGGATTAATAAATTGTGTTCGAAACGCCGTCATCAGTAAATATTACTGTATAACACTACACTGTGTGACTTTATCAGAATACAATTTTACTCATAATGCTGAAGTTATGATTCTACCACCACAGTGCCCAAGTTTTATCCTAATATCAATAATTTTAAATCTGTTAATAGAAATTATTAACATAATCCTCAGAGGATTAATAATCCGTCTACTCTTGATGAGTGAGTGAATACACTTAAGTGGATAACTACTATAATAATTTTAAATATTAATAATAATAGTGTTACTAGTACATTTAAATACTACTTTGGACAATTATTAAGATAGAGAAGTGTTCCAGTTTTTCTTTATCGAGTTTATTCCCGATTAATCATTACTATTATTATTATTATAAAGGATTTCAATGTTATTACGCAAATAAACGAATGAATGGATATTTGAGGGTTTATTCTTTTTCTAAAGTCATTCATACATTTATGTTATGTCCACTTAAAGAGTGAAATAAATTTTAAATATATGTATA